TAGTCTGTCTTCCTCTCCAAAACTCCCGTTCAGATCTTTTCCTTAGCAATAAACAGTTCAGGGCTGGCTGTGGCCGTTTTGTGCTGCTGTTTGATTTTTAAGTGGAAACTGTTCCTTTAAATTTGAGGAGATCAGTGCGCATGTGGAGTAGAACCCTCCTGGGATGGGGTGGGATGTCCACTCCTCAGGCACTCCTTCTCGTCACCAGAATGGAGGTGCACAGCCAGCAAGGGAACAATGAACAGATACAAAAAAAAAGGAAGAATGTCCACACCTTTATCCGTGAGGATCCTTCAGGTATCCATGGTGGCTCTGAACCTTTCACCGCTCCATCTCGCCCAAGATGGCCACTCTGGGAGCTGCTGAGCCCGATGGATTAGAAAGCACTAGATTTCTTGCTTCTGCTACAATTTCCACTGGCTGTAAGCCTTCAAACTTTCTAAATACTCCTTTATATGTGGTTCTAAATACTCCTTTACATGTGGTTCAGAGTTCTGGGACTGTCCCCTGAACCTGCTTCAGCCAGTATTCTGTGTTATTGCTGATGGAGGTCCTCACTGTACTTCTTGCCAATCCACCATCAAGTCCCACCCTTCTTGTTCAACTTGAATGACTATCTTCTCATCTTTCATGATGTTAGGGAAATTTTATTCCAGTAACTCTTGGACAATATTCTCTATGGGTTTTTTATTTTATTTTTTTTAACTCTTCTTTTTCTGGCACTCTGATTCGTAAGTTATTTCTATTGATAGTTTTCCACATAAATCTTAGTCTTTCTTCAGACTTTCATGTTCTTTATTCTGATTGTTCCTCTGCCATTTGATTATTGAGAGATTATCCTTCAAACACAGTAATTTGGCTCTCCATTGATTAAACTCTATTTTTTTTTTTGCACTTTCAGTGTATTGTCTATTTCTGAGATCTTTATGTTAATCTTCTGGCTTTCTAATTGCTTATTTTGTATGGGTTTCATTTTGTCAATTTGCTCCTAATTTTTTACGTAGATTTCCTTGATTTCATCTGTAGCACTAACTTCTCCATAGGAGGGTTTTAGATTTCAGACTTTGGCAAGAGGTAGAACTGAAGCGCTCACTAAATTCGTTATTAGGCTAATTAACTGGGATGTCCCATGAAACAATGACCTTAAACCTCCAAACCAAGGCAAAGCCCAGGAGGTGTATTGTTGTTTATAAATAGCCTCAGCAGCTACATTCAGTGTTACTTCTCTTCTCCTTCAGTGTATTGTCTGTTTCTGAAATCTTGATTTCTATTAGCTGTTCTATGGTTTCTAATTTTTCATTTATTTTATCAGTGCTCTTGTAATGTTTTCCTGAATTCTTAAGTTGTTTTTTTTTTCTCTGTGTTCTCTTTGTTTTCTTTCTTGATCATTCCCTCAAAACATTGAAGATACCTTGATACTTTTAAATTCCTTGTCAGGTAATTCTGCTATCATTTCTGGTGTTAAATTTTCTTACTCTGTATTTTGGTCACTTGTTGAAGTCCCTGTCTTGTTTCTTCATGGAATACACCACTACAAAATGTTTTGCCTCAGACATTGTACTGGTGTTATGATTGTATATACTGGCGTGTTCTTAGGCACTCAAATCTGTCTCCCAGTGAATGTGGTAGAGGCTAAAAGTGTAAAACATTTCTGGCATCTCTAGGGCTGAGAGTCTTTCCTTTGCTTCATCTTGTACTTAAAGGCAGAGTAGAGAGCATACAGTCATATCTGTTTACTGCAATTTTAGCTACATCGCCCTTGTTCTGAAACATGACTCTGTGGAACTTATTTTCCTTTAGCTTCTAAAGATACTCTTAGTCGTAAGTTTGTTAGTGGGAGAGTGGAAGGAGATGAACCATCAGTATTGCTTGTAATGCTTATGTTGAGAAGCATTAGCAGGACCTGGGCATTCAAGTCTCCTTAAAAGGAATGTTAGAACAATGGGGAAGCATCCATCCTTCATCCTGACAGAGTCAAGCTGACTTGGACACCAAAAACATTCCCTTTCTCCTAGTTATTTACTTCTCTAACCTAAAAAAGAATGGTGTGAGATTAGAAGCCAGCGACATGACAGTGATTTCAGTTTGTCATTCTAATTCTAATTCTTGCTCTTTATTTTATTTTAAATCTCCTCTACAGGGCAGCCTGTCACCGACTTAAGCTAGTGAAGGTAAGTAAGTCTGAAGAGGCCTCAAGATACCAATTTTATAAGTCTCTATAGGAGTCCTGCCAGAGTGCTCCTTGGAGGCCAAGATGGCCAAACTTCGTTTCTCATACTTCGGACACACTGTCAGGAGGGACCAGTCGTTGGAGAAGGCTATCATGTTTGGTACAGTGGAGGGACAGAGAAAAAGAGGAAGACCCCCAATGAGATGGATTGACCAAGTGGCAGCATCAATGGACTCAAGCGTGGCAACACCAGTGAGGTTGGCCCAGGATCGGGCAGTGTTTCTTTCTGCTGTGCATAAGGTCACTATGAATCAGTACCGACTCGATGACACCTAACAACAACAATATAAGAGTCCTGGTGTGATGCCATAGAATAAGCACTTGACCTCAAGGTTGGTTTGAACCTCAAAGATGGCAGTTCAAACTCGCTAGCCGTTCCTTGGAAACCCTATACAGGGTTGCTGTGAGTTGGAACTGACTCAACAATACTTAACAACAACAGTTCTAGACTACAACCAAAGATTTTTGTCAGGTCCTTGGCTTGACAGCATACTGAGGGGGAATCCCAGGGCATCAGTGGTCAGGGGGAGGTGTTGTGTCAGGGACTCAAAGTCCTACCTCTGCACTTCTCTTGCTGTGTTGATTATGGGGAATCAAAACAAAATGTGAACAAATCTGGGTCCCAAAATGCTTTCCTGAACTGATTATATTCATTGCCGGTGGAGTTGAAGTCACTTTGATTTGCTTCTTTTGAGGCAAACAAATGACCACTCCTAAACAAAGCAACCTGTTTCATGGTATGGGATAAAGACACAGATTGTTGTTGTTTGAAGAGCCATTGAATCAATTCTGACCCAGAGCAACCCTGTATGGAGTTAAGGTGTAGCTGGTGAGTTTGAGCTGCTAATCTTGTCATTTGAACCAACCTTGTGGTCTAGTGCTTTATCCCACAACGCCACACCAGGATTCCAAAGATACAGAATGTCCACTTTTAAAAGATACTGAACTCTGGATGAAGCCCCAGATAAGGTCTTTGTGGAGTAGGATGCTGGCCATCCCTTTGCTCTTTTTGCTAAGCTGGACATGACTTCAGTTTGTTGGGACAACCCCTGAATTTACACATGTGAAAAAAATGGCAGGGTTTCTATTCAGCTATATCTGACTCAAAGCTGACAGGGCAAGCTATCTGTTTCTCTTCTTCCACACCCCAATTAGGCTGTCTCTGCTGGAGGTGACGGTGCTGCCTTTCCAATTATTGGCTTGTTTTATTCTTCACTTTATTGTGCTTTGCAGACACTGTGGTTTTTTGTTTTTTTTTTTTTAAATATATAAATTGAAGGTTTGTGGCAACTCTGTATTGAGCAAGTGCCGTTTTTCCAATGGCATGTGCTCACTTCAGGTCTCTGTCACATGTTGATATTTCTTACAGTATTTCAAACCTTTTCATACTGCCATTGCACACTTATAGACTATGGTACAGGGTTAATATGACTTTTGTAGGCACTGGGAGATAAAACAATTCATGTGGCTTACTTTATTGCAATAGTCACTTTATTGCGGTGGTTTGGAAAGGAACACATTTCCAAAGGGTATGTCTATATTGACCTGTGTTTACCACAGCACCTGGGTCCCTCCTCCCACATGCCAGTTTCCACCTCAAAATTCTTTCCTGATGTCGCAGTATTAGTGGGGCTCAGAATCTTACCAGGCCCACTGTTGTCAGCTCCTACTCTGTGGAGCAGTGCTGGGCTCATTGATGATTTGCCCTGGGACAATGATATCCAAAGAATTTTAGGTTTGCTTTCCACTTGGAACCTGCTCCTTGAACGTCTCATGTGTGATGGTGGTAACAACATGCCCTTTTCTCCTCCTCCCACTCGTGAGTGAATCTTATGCCACCTGTAGACCCAGAAAGAAGAAGAATTCTTGGTATGAAAGTAGCCAGAGCATGTTGTGGTAGGTAGGCTGCGTGGGGAGGGACAGCATTGTATAGAACAGGATTTCTTCATGCAGGCATCCATCTGGGCACCAAGTGCCTTAGTCATCACATCTCCCAGCATGGTCAAACTTCCTTAGTCTTCTTTCCTCCTCCAGGGTGGTGATTTCTTACAAACAAACAAATAAACTCTTTATCCCTTCCTCCATCTTTCCCGTCTTCCTTGTCTCATCCCTTCATCCACTTATCCATCCATTCATCACTTCAGTCATTTAATAATAGGTATTCTCATTTGTGTTCCTACCTAATCTTTATCTCTTTCTTTATATAAACATTTTTAATAATTATTCTTATTTATTTGTGTTCCTACCTAATCTTTATCTCTTTCTATACAATTTTTATGTTATTATGATTGTACCCGTTATATAGTGTTGCACTGCAGGAAAATGCACTGGACTGCAAGGTCGTTTTGCACTACATGGTTGACACTTTAAACTCACCAGCTGCTCCTCAGAAACTTTAAGCAGGGTCACTGTGAGTCAGAACTGACTTGATGGTGCTTAACAACCACCACCAGTTAAATACTTTTGTGTTGTTTTATTTTACTTAATATTATTTTATAAATATTCTGTTTTTGTAGTCATCATAGTTACAAATTCAAAAGTTGAATTGCTTTCACTTTTTGAATAGTTTACTTTACCATTCCACTGCTGTTGGATACACTTGATTAAGAAATGTATTTTAAAAAGCTGTTTCTACAGAAAACTTGAAGCATCTAGTTTGTCTTCATTTGGGTTTTCCCCTAGGAATAAATTCTTAGGAGTAGTATTTGTTGCTGCTGTTCTGAGTTGTCTTGTCAAGTAGTCCTTAAGCTATAGTTCCACAGCAACATAGGAATATTCCTCTATCCCTGTAACTAGACTGTGGTTTTCAAGGGGCTGGTGGTGTAGTTCAAGTAGATATAAAAAGTTCTATTTAATTCCTTATTATTCAATTTGTATTTAAAAATTCATAATGAGATTCAGCCATGCACATTTATGATGTAATAGGGGAAACTTAGTGTTTAGATCGAGGCAAACTCAGCTGTAAATCCTGATTCTGAGTGAACTGTACCTACCTTATTAAGAGTCCATGTAGCACTGTAGGATAGGCACTGGAACACAAGGTCAATTTGAACTGCAGAGTGGTGGTTCAAACCCACCAGCCACACATCGGAAACCCTATATACGGTTGTTATGGGTTGGAACTGAGTTGACAGAATTTAACAATAACAAATAGGAGCTCTGTAGCATAGTGGGTTATGAGTTGGGCTGATAACTGGAAGGTCAGCAGTTCAAACATATCAGTTGCTCTGTGTGAGAAGACACTTTCTGCTCCCATAAAGATTGACAGCCTTGGACACTCTATCCAGGGTTGCTATGCATCAGTACTAACTCTGATGGCACATACTACCACCACCACCACCTAGCTCATAAGGACTGTTGTGGGTATTAAATGAATCTTTAACAGTTTAACTCAGAAGATCTTGGTCCCCTTTTATTGCCCCCCCCTTTTTTTTATCACTATATATGAGAGGGCCTAATGGAAAATGGGATTAAAAGATAATGAAATTTTTCCATGAGCTTTTTGAAGTCCTCTCATACATTTCATGTAATATTGTTTCTTTGTAGTCTTCATTTATTTACCAAGGATTGTTAGTGGTTTTATAACTTTATTTTTTATTGATACTAATTCTATATGTTCATCTTTAATGGAGTTATGTTACTGCTCTTTGTTTTCACAACTGTTTAGAGTTTCTATTTGTTATCTGCCTATTTTATAGCAAGATACTTATATTTTTAAAGTTTTTATTGTAAATTGAGTGTAAGTTTACAGGGTAGATTATCATTTTACATTTAATAAGTCATATTTTGTTTCATTGCAATGATTACAATTTCCTACATGTACAACCATTCAACAGCATTTACCGCTATTCCCCCCCCGTTTGTTCATGTACACATACAAAACAGAAAATACGTATTAGTTTAAATGTCTAAAGGGCCGCCAGGCTTTCTGAGTTCATGGACTTAGAGTCTTCAGCTACTCTATCTTTCTATACTATCGCCTCTGCCACCATCTCTGCTGTCTCCACTTTGCTGGGTAGGATCTCATGCTCCACTCATGCTCTTCCTTCTTGATAAATATGAGGTTCCTTCTACCTGAAATGGAAGATTAGCCAGATACTTTTCATACACCAACTCTTGTGGTCTTGCCAACAATTCTGAGTGTCAAAAATTCCTTCTAATTTTTCAGAATAATATTTAGATACTTAAATGTTAAATAACTTGCCTGAGAATTCACAGCAGGTATGTGGCAGAACCAGGACTTGGCCCAGGCTGCTTTAAACTCTTCAGTGCAGCTTTCTAGCTTTCCCACCAAGTTTGATGTCAAATTTAAAATCAAACAACAGGTTTCAAAAGGAGACTTTTTCTGTGCCTTTCAACCCATCATAACTAAGAATATGAATGTGTCGGGGGAGGAACGGGAATTATCAAACTGCCTGTTTTGCTTACATCTTCTATTTAAAGTGATAACAGCTCCTTTATCATTTAGGTACTAAGTGATGGTGGCTTTCATGTGTTGTATGCTGACTACAGAGGTATGTGTTAAAATGATGTATAACGATTTGTCAGATAAACAGTAGACTTATGATGATTCCTCATAGGTAGCGATACTGTTTGTCTTTTCTTGTGCCAGGATTTGGTGACTCCACGGGCAAAGCCACAGAGGAGGGACTGACCATGGATGCAGTTTATGTCTATGAGTGGGCCAAAGCAAAAAGTGGTACCACCCCTGTGTGTCTCTGGGGTCACTCTCTGGGAACAGCGTAAGTGGGGTCTGAAGATGCTCTGCTTCTGCTTGAGGTGTGGGTCCTTGGATCTTAGCATCATATCAAAGGCAGCAATGAGTAGTGGACAGAGCGCTGAGCCAGGAGCAGGGACCTTTCTTTGGTCTCTCCTCTACCCTACATGTGGCTAGAACCCCCATGATTTCAGTGTGCCTGTTTGTAAAACAAGGGAGTATTTGGGCATCTTTGACGCTAAAAGCCATACCAAAAGGTCTCCTTGATAATTTTAAAGAAAAATGCTCTTAATTTAGGGTCTGCACAACATCTTGAAATCCTGTGCAAGTTTTGTATGTAGTGTGTTTTCTAAGCACAGGAACCTGAGCTTCTGTCAGATGCTCATACTGGGTGCTGTATTTCGTACTGTTTACTTGATTGTAAAGTCATTGTTTCATGTACCTACTAATCTCTTTACAGAGTTGCAACAAATGCTGCAAAAGTCCTAGAAGAGAAAGGTAATAAAAAATACTTAAATGATAAAATTTCTTGGCTTGATGTGGAGATACAAAAACATTCGAGACGGTTTGCACATTTAGAACACAAAGATAACTACACATCTATACTTGAGAGAATTTCTGGCAGTGTAACAAATGTTCTATTAATTTAATATAAAATTATAGCTGATTTTAAAGATTCTAAAATTGAAAATAAATACTGAAAGCTCTTTTGAAAAAAGTCTCTTGATTGAAAAAGCTCTTTGAAAGAGTTCTCATGAAATCGTGATTAAAAATACTAACGCTGGGGTAATAGAAACAAAAGGAGAGAAAGATTGTACAATGTGAAGCAGTAGGCAGGACTTGCTTCTGCAGCCCTTCTTATATATCAGTATTTCCCAAATGTTCTGAGAACTACCTGTACTAGACTCCTTTGGGAGTGTTTGTTACAAACACAGGTTCTTGGATCCTAACTGACTTTATGAATTAGAATCTCTGGGAATAGGGATAGGTGATTTTGATCTCCTGAAATTCACTTGGTATGTTGTTGTTGTTGTTATGGGCTGTGGAGTTAGTTCCGACTCATAGCAACCCTGTTTCCAAGGCTGTAAATCTTTACGGGAGCAGAAAGCCTCATCTTTCTCCCGTGGAACAGCTGGTAGTTTCGAACTGCTGATCTTGTGGTTCACAGCCCGATTCATCATCACTGTGCTACCAGAGCTTGCGAAATCATTTTAAAGTAATCCACCTGCTATACACAACTTTAATTGCTTAGGCAAATCAGGTAAACATTATTTTAGTGGTCCTCTAAGTTCCCACAGAGCCCCACCCGTCTTGTGCATACCTCATTCCCAACTGATAGTGTTGCATTGTGAGAACTTAAGTCCATTGGTACATTTTTATTACTCTACTTAACTCCCCACTGCCCAATAGCTTGCTATAGACTTCTTCTTCTTCTTCTTTTTTTTTTTTGACAGTCTTGACATAGGGGTTAAGTGTAGGCTGTAAACATAAACTACAAGATCAGTGGTTCAACTCCACCAGCCGCTCTGCAGGAGAAAGATGAGTTTGTCTGTTCTCATAAAATTTACAGTCTCTGAAACTCTAAGATGTTTTACTCCATCCTGTAAAGTTCTGGTGTGGCACTGTGGGTTAATGCGCCAGACTGCAAAGCCGTTTGAACTGCAAGGTTGCAGTTCAAGCTCACCAGCTGCTCCTCAGAAACCCCATACAGCGTCGCTATGGGTCAGAACCAACTCGATGGCACATCACAACAACAACAATAGTGTCGCTATGAGTCCGAATCCACTCAATGGTAGTGGGTTCTAGTCATTATTCTAGAAATGCACATGTATCCTTGATGAGCAGCTAAAGTAAATGAATAATGTAATTCCATTTAGCATCCCCCCCAACTTAGGAACTCTTACTGGCATGTATTTTAAATTTCTGTTTATTACACAGTCTTTGTGCTTTATAACTTCCTGTATCTCTGAGCTTTCATCGGGATATTTGTTCTGCCTTTTTTATTAGTAATTAATTCCCTTAAGTTGTGGTCTGAAATTGTGTTTATTTCACCTTCAGTTTTGAAGGTTATTTTCACTGGACATAGAATTCTAAGTTGGCAGTAATTGTATTTTGACACTTTGAAGATGTCATCTGTTGTGTTCTGGCCTCCACTATTTCTTTAGGAACCCTGCTTGTTTAGTCCTACTGTTGCTCCTTTGAAGATAATGCTTGCCCTTTCTTCTGACTAATTTTGAAATTTCCTGTATGCCTTTGGTTTTCAGCAGCTTTTCCATGATTTTCTAGTAATGGTTTCTTCTTATCCTCCTTGGTGTTCATAAAGCATCAAGTCTGTGGCTTAATATTCGCCAGTTTTGGGAAATTATTAACCACTGTATCTTCAAATGGACTACTGTGGTGCTATTGGATAAGCACTGGACTGTGTGAACCACAAGGTTGGTGGTTCAAACCCACCTGCTAGCTACTCCTTGAAAACCCTGTTACAGGGTTGCTATGAGTCAGAATCGACTTGACAGCACCTAACAACAACATATGTTAAAATAAGAAGCCCAGATAGCAGAGTGGGTTAATGTGTTGAGCTGTTAATCACAAGATCAGCAGTTCCAATCCCCAGCAGCTTTGCTGGAAAAAGATGAGCTCTTTGTTTCTGTAAAGATTTACAGCCATGGAAATCATATACAGGATTACTATGAGTCGGAACTGACTCGATGGCACACCACCACCACCACCATATCTTCAAATATTATGTCTGCCATTCTTTCTTTTCTCCCTCTGTAACTATATGTATACTATATATGTCCTTCCCCGTATGCCACCAGTATTGTTTTAGTTTAGTTATGCTTTAGTTTAGTTTTTTCAGACCTTTGATGCAGTGCACTCATTTTCTTTTCAGCCGAAACTAATAATGTATTTAACTAGTCAATTGACTTGTTGATTTTCGTTACTGTATTTTTCTATTCCAGAATTCGATTACTTTTATAGTATTCTGCTGACATTTATCTTTTCAATTTTAGAATATATTAATAATCTGTATATATTTAAATTATGTACCTATATATGTAGCACTTGTGAGTTAATGTGTACATGATTTAAATGTAATATCACTATTAATCTTAATATTTTAATACATATAATGCTATTTTATTATTTTAAATCCATATATAATATGCTCCTATATATAGATTTCTTGTTGATCTCCATCACTTGTTTTTTTGTTTTTGCTGCTTTTGGGGTCAGAATTTCAACTTCTTTGAAGGAAAGATATTTCTAACTCTCTTGGAATATTTTTTTGACATTGGTCCTACAAATATTCACTGATTTAGTAGCCTTCAGATGCCTTGCAATAGTCACATCCCACAAACATATTTTCTATTTGTTCTCAGAGGAAGATGTTGGTTAATATAGCTTAGTCAGCCTCTGGCACATTCTTAGCAGTGGACTGGTTGTGTTCTTATAAGAAGATAATGAATTCAACTACTTATGGGCATAGAAGTCCTGGTGTGGTACTGTAGTGTAAGCACTGCAAGATCAGCAATTCAAACTCTTTGAAAACCCTATACAGGGTTGTTATGACTTGAAACAAACGTGATAGCACTTCACAACAACAATAACAACAACAACATGTACATAGAAATTCCTTGTGCAGACAGAGAAGTTGTGAAAAAATGCAAATTTTCATGCTCTCCCTTCCGGAGCCTCAGACTCACGCTGGTGGTGGTGTTTTTGTGTGTCCTTGAGTTGTTATTAGTTGTTGTTGAGTTGGTTCTGACTTACAGGGACCTAGGTCAGTTTGAACTGTGAGGTCGGTGGTTCAAACTCACCAGCTGTTCCTTGGATACCTTACACAAGGACACTATGAGTCGGAACCAACTCCACAGCACATAACAACAGCAACGTGCACAACAGAACAAAGCACTGCCTGGTCTTGAGCCTTCCTTACAGTGGTGGTCGTGCTTTTCTTATTCTTGAGCCCATTGCTGTTGTCACTGTGCCAGTTCATTTCACTGAGGAGCTTCCTCGTGTTCGATGACCCTCCACTTTACCTAGCATGATGTCCTTCACCAGGGACTGGTTCCTCCTGATACCATGTCCAAATCATGACAGACAAAGTCTATCCTTCCTGGTCTCCAATATTCTGGTTGTACTTTGAACACAAGGAGCTCAGGTAGCGTAGCGGTTACGAATCGGGCTGCGAACCTTAAGGTCAGCGGTTCGAAACTACCAGCTGTTCCGCGGGAGAAAGATGAGGCTTTCTACTCCCGTAAAGATTTACACCCTCGGAAACCCTATACAGGGTCGCTATGGGTTGGAACCGACTCGATGGCACATAACAACAACAACAACTTTGAACACAAGCCTTGTTTGTTTTTCTGGAAGTCCATGGTACTTTGAATATATTTCTCCAACACCATATTTTAAACATGTCAGTTTTTCTTTGCTCTTCTTATTAATGTTTAGCTTTCATGTGCATATTGTTATGTGCATGGAGTCAGTTCCGACTCATAGCGACCCTGTACCGGGTTTCCGAGGCTGTAAATCTTTATTGTAGCAGAAAGCCTCATCTGTCTTCCGTGGAACAGCTGGTGGTTTTGAATTGCTGACTGTGAGGTTAGCAACCCAATTTGTAACCACTGCGCTACCAGAGTTCCTTATGTGCATATTAAGCAACTGAAAATATGAAGGGTAAGACTTACCTTAGTTCTCAAACTTTGCTCTTTAACGTATTAAAGAACTCTTCTGCAGCAGATTTGCCTAATGCGGTCCATCCTTTGATTTCTTGAGGACTTCTTGAGTGTTGATGTGGATCCAAGCAAAATGGAGTCTTTGACAATTTGAATATTCTCTCCATTTATCATGATGCTGTTTATGGGTCAGGTTGTGAGGATTTTGTTTCTTTACTGTGAAATCCATACTGGAGGTTGTAGTCCGTAATCTTCATCCCTAAGTATCCTTTTAAAGTTCTCTTCACTACCTGCAAGCAAAGTTGTATCATCTGTATGCCGCAGGTTTTTAAAGAGTCTTCCTCCAATCTTGATGCCGTGTTTTTCTTCCTATAATCTAGTTTCTCAGATGATTTGCTCAGCATACGGATTGAATAAGCATGGTGAAATGTTGCAACCCTGACGCACACCTTTCCTGATTTTACACCATTCAGTATCTGCTTGTTCTGTTCAATTGACTGCCTCTTGGTCTATGTGCAGGTTCCTCATGAGCACTATCAAGTATTCTGGATTACTCATTCTTTTGCAATGTTATCCATAACTTATGTTCTACACAGTCAAAAACCTTTGTATAGTCAATAAAACACAGGTAAACATCTGTTCACATCTTCTGAATTCTGCTTGAGTTTCTGACAGTTTCCTGTTGATCTTCTGTTGCAGCCATTTTTGAATTATCGTCATATTAATGATACTGTTCAATGTCTGCATTCCGTTTGGTCACCTCTCTTTGGAATGGGTACAAATATGGATCTCTTTCAATTGGTCGGCCTGGTAATTGTCTTCCAAATTTCTAGGAATAGGTGAGTTAGGACCTCTGTCACGTCATCAGTTTGTTGGGAAACTCCAGTTTGTTTAGAACCTTGTTTTTTGCTAATATCTTCAGTGCAGCTTGGACTTCTTCAATACCATTGGCTTTTGATCATATACTACTTCTTTTCTTCCTTTCTCTCTTTCTTTCTTTCTTTTTCTTTCACATTTATTCAGTGTCATGATCAGACTATTAACATGTAGCAATCAACAACATGGGGGCAAAAAAAAAAATTCAACAACAAAAAACTACTTTAAAACCCTTTGTTGGAATGCTTTACAATTTCCACAGAACAGAAACTAAAATAATCTGTTACACAATTAGTCACAAATACAGTCCTCGAGTTCCCCCCCAACTCCCAATAGAACATGAGCATTGTCTAAAACATGTCCCCCTGCCACCACTGTGCTTGGCTGAGTTCACAAATCTGTTGTCACCTCTAGTTTTCCTGTCACTTCTCTGGCTCTCTTCTCCTCCTAAGCTTTGTTTCCTGGCATTCATTAAAACTTTCTGCCACTCCCATAGCTACTGCAGCTGCTTGAACTTCTATAGCCACCTTGGTTTCTTGATCTGACAAAACATTGACCTCTACCGCCATAAGGTGTGGTGCTGTGGGCTAATACGTCAGACTGCAAAGTCATTTGAACTGCAAGGTCGGTGGATCAAGCTCACCAGATGGTCCTTGGAAACCCTATACAGGGTTGCTATGGGTCAGAATCGACTGGACGGCACATAACAACAACCACCATCACAAGGACCAGAACTTCTGCTTCTAAAATGTCCTCCCTTCATGGGTCCAAAATTTGAAGATTGATGATTGTAATTGCCAAAATCATTGTAGCTTCTTCCACCTTCAAAATTGCCTCCATCATTACCAAATCCATTATAACCATCTCCACTGCCTCCATAAGGAGCTCTGGTAGCACAGTGGTTATGAATTGGGCTGCGAACCTCAGGGTCAGCAGTTCAAAACTTACAGCTGTTCCATGGGAGAAAGATGAGGCTTTCTGCTCCTGTAAAGATTTACAGCCTCGGAAACCCTGTACTGGGTCGCTATGAGTTGGAACCGACTCCATGGCACACAACAACAACAACAGCTGCCTCCATCTCTACCACCACCACAGCTGCCACCTCATCCACTGATGTTTCCTCCATGACCAAAGTTGTCGTTCCCACCAAAACCACCTCCATGGCTACTACCAAAGTTTCCAGAACCACTTTGACCTCTGACTCGAGGAGACACTAGCCATCTATTGCTTTGACAGGGCTTTCCTTACTTCACAGTTGTGGCCATTCACAATATGATCCTTCTGAGTAAAAGTCTTATCTACAGAGTCATGGTCATCAAAGGTTATAAAAGCAAAGCCCCTCTTCTTGCCACTGCCTCAGTCTGTCAAATGATTTCAATCACTTCAGTCTTCCTATACTATCTTCTTTAATGCTACCAACAAAAATCTTTTTCACAGTTAAGTGGGCACCCAGCCTTTGAGAGTATTCTCATGAAACAGCTGTCATTGGTTCTACCATTCTTCCATCCACCTTGTGTGGCCTTGCATTCATGTCTGCATCCACCTTTTCCACAGTATAAGTGACAAACCCAAAGCCTCTGGAACACTTGGTACTTGGATGTTAATAACCGCACAGTCCGTGAGCATCTCCCATTGCTCAGAATGGCACCTCAGACTCTCCTCTGTCGTTTTGAAGCTCAACTCTCTGATGAAGAGTTTCTGCAGCTGTTAAGGCTCATTAGGAGACTCTGACTTAGACATGATGATATCGAGAAAAAAACCAACAACCCACTAATGATGCTTCCTCCACACCATCCACAGGCAGCCATATAACAACCTTTTGAAATGGCTGATTATTGATCATTTCTGTTTGGTACAGTGAATCTGTATATAATTTCCAACTTTTAATGCTTTCTACATCATTTAATATTTTGCCTACATTGTTGGTAAGTGTCATCAAGTCAATTCCAACTCATAGCCACCCTGTAGGGTTTCTGAAGCTTTGAATCTTCATAGGAGCAGAGAGCCTCATCTTTCTCCTGCGGAGCAACTGGTGGTCTCAAATTGCGGACCTTCTGGTTTGCAGTTGAGTGTTTATCGTATATAGCCACCATACTATGCATTTTGCTCATGGAATCCTTCAGTATTGAAAATCCAGGTTAGATTTTTTTTTTTTTTTTTTTTCTTTAGTGTTTTCTGTTAGACAAATGATGAGCAAGTTCTTCCTGTTTGGTTTTCTAACTCCAGGTCTTT